ATATTTGAATGTGCAAAGCTCCATACAAGGTAAAGTATTTTGTTTGGTTAGCTTCTAGGGAGGCTTGCTTTACTAGGATGAAAACACTTCCCTTTTTATTTGTTGCAAGGTTTCTTGGCAGCTTCATCCATAAGCTTAGCTAGCTTATGTATTTCCCTCTTGAATTATGTATAATAACCTCTTATCTTAGAGCTTATGTATTTCCCTCTTAAATTACGTATAATAGCTGAGCTCCTCTATAAGAGATAATAGATATGGGGACACCATGCAGTCGTACTATCTCCTAATGTAAAGCTTTGCATAATCCTCTGTGGAATATGTAGTCCTAACAGGCAGAAAATGGGCTGATTTTGTAAGTCTATCAACAATCACCCATATAGAATCGAACTTGCGTTTGGTGCGAGGTAAACCTGCGATGAAATCCACATTGATTACTTCCCGCTTCCAAGTCGGAATCTCTATAACATGCAATAATCCACCGGGTTTTTGATGCTCAATCTTGACCTGTTGACATTTAGGGCACTGAGTGACAAACTCTGCTATATCCTTTTTCATTCCGTCCCACCAATATATTTCCTTGATATCATGATACATCTATGTTGCTCCTAGATGAATGAATAGTGAGATAGTGAGTTTCGCCCATGACCTGCCGCGCAGCCCTGCACATTAGGGACACAAAACTCAAACCCTCGACTATCTGAGGACCCCGNNGTACAGGCTGCATTATAGAAGGTAGCAACAGTTACGAGATTGGAAGGATTTCGACCACAAGTAATGATGTGAGAAATAGGCCTAAAGGGGGGGGGATGCCCTGGCCCTTGGATTTATTCACAAAACAATTGTCGAGATGGCAAGAAGAGTACTAACGTATTCGAAAGACACAAGTTATGAAAATGATAAGTGCATCAGTAAACATTCAAGGACGAATGTTCCAGGGGGGGGGGGGGAATGATGTTACACCCCGTATTTTCGCATGTGAAAGTACGCCATAATTAAATTGATATAAGCTCGGAAATGAGACGTTACATCCTGCATTTTCGTACGTTAAAGTTTCGTCGTAAGTTAATCGACGTAAGCTCGAGAATGAGATTATTTTGTGGTTATAAGCATTATGCGATTTCAAGCAAGTGATAAGTAAATTCGTAAAGGTGAGAAGGTAAGGGAATCGAAGAAAGTGAATTTCATCGAAGTTTGACATTTTGGAATAAAATACGGTCCGAGCTATAATACCCGATATTTATGAACTAGTGTCATATAAGGTACCACATGACCATGATAATGAAGTGTATAAAGTCTGCTAAAAATGAGCAGTATTTTAAGTAATTTCAGATAATTCTTAATTATGTGTAGAATTGGTTAATTATTGGATTAGTGGGAAATTACCAAGTTAAGTAAGAAATTGGTAATTAATTAAGATTTTGGATAAACTCTTGAACATTACGCTACAGCCAATAAAAAAGCCCAAAGAATGACTCTTCATTTAGGTGCTACATGGAATATTTAGGAGAATTAGTGGCACACAAACCTCAAAGTTAAGGGATTATTATACATAAGTTAATAGGAAAATACATAAGCTTGCTAAAGCTTACGGATGAAGCTCACTCATGAATCTCTTTACTTCACTATAAGACTTCTAGTTCACAAAGAAACGTGAATTAGAATTAAGCAAAGTAACGGATTTTGAGCAAAAATTTCATACGAAGTTACACTCCGTAATAGAAACAGGATTTGCACTTTTAAGAGAGCACGGTACTATCTTTCTCAAGAACATCATACGGATTTTCCCCTACTTCGATCCATCGTTACGTGTTGTCGCAATTGACATGTGTTGGAAGGATTGTCAAGAGAATCGGCTCAGGTATGTTAAGGCTATCCCTTCTTTCTTTTTGGCATGATCCATACGATGCATACGAAACGAGCAAATGCACAACTTCCATAAATGATTCTATTCATAGAAATGCTAGAGATGCTTATCTTCTTGATTCCCCATATATCATATTATTCTATCATCTTTTCATGGGTCTCAAATAATACATAAGTTGACGAAGTTTATTTTATGATATTAATCAATGACATAATGGTCTTATGACCTTCCAAGAAATTTTATTGACGTACTTCTCTTGCATTGCATTCATTTATACATATACATTGACCAATGACCAGATGGCATTATATACGCGTATATATATGTATTTATATGAATATGGGATATGAGAAAAGGTTACCGCGTTATATACGCACCACCACCTGATCAGCTGGTATATGTTGATGATTTTGCCCACAGTGGCCGAGATGATATGACGGGATGCCCTTAGAGGCTTGATGATGTTATGAACACAACCTATGCACGACATGACATTTATATGCATATGCGTGGTATTATACATATTAATAATTCACAGAGTTATTCAGACTTACATGTCGAGTCTTTTACTCCATGGTATTTACTGATTTTCATTCCTTACATACTCGGTACATTATTTGTACTGAAGTCCCTTTTGCCTGGGGATGCTGCATTTCATGCCCGCGGGTCCCGATAGACAGGTTGAGAGTGTTCCAAGTAGGCTATCAGCTCAGTAGAAGGTGTTGGTGCGCTCTATTTTGCTCCGAAGTTGCTTATTTGGTCAGTATAATTAGGACATGTATTGATTGGTATTGCGGGGCCTAGTCCCGACCTTTATGTTACTTATGTACTCTTAGAGGCTGTGGACTTTATTAAAAACGGGACATAGGCTATTGTGGGCTCATTTCTTTCGTCTTTTGGGCGATTTTGGAGCTCTTTGAAGAGGGGATTTCACCTAGCTATTGGAGGTAAGTAATTTCTATCCAATGTAAGTTAAATACATATATTATGTGTGATTACCCGAAAGGTCGTCTTGTGTTTTAGAACTCAATTCTGCGCTTTTAAGCCTTAAAAATCTCATATTTACCCTTCTCGATTTGCCTGCACAGTCTGGGTGTGTTTCTGGAAAGCTTTTATGTTAAAACTTGATGAAAATAAGAAATTTTGCCTAAAAACTTCCTTTGAGTTGCTTCAGTCAACATTTTTGGTAAATAGATCCGGATTCGTGATTTGACGGTCCCGATGGGTCCGTATCGAGATTTGGGACTTGGGCGTATGCCCGAAATTAATATCAAAGGTCTCTAGCCCGAGATATCGGACTTTGTTGAGATTTGAAAGTTAAAGGCTTATTGAAATGGAAGTGTTTGACCAAGGTTTGACTTTTTGGATATTAGGTCTGCATTTTTTGTTCCGAAACCCGGTATAGGCCTAATAACACATTTATAACATGTCTGTGGAATTTGCCAAAAAACGGAATTGGTTTGGTATGATTTGGATGTCCGCTTAAGAAATTAGAAGTTTCAAGGCTTTCTTGAAAATTTCATTTAAATTGGTGCTAAATTCGTAGTTCTAGGTGTTATTTTTGTGATTTGATCATGCGAGCAAGTTCATATGATGTTTTTAGACTTGTGTGCATGATAGGTTTGGAGCCTCGAGGGCTCGGGAGAGTTTCGGATAGGCTATAGGGTGATTTGAACTTTGAAAAATTTGCTAGTGTAACTGATCTGGTTGCAGGCCTCTGATCTCGCATTTGCGAGATCAGGCATCGCAATTACGACCTCTGTAGGTTCCTCATTTCCGGGCTTCTCATCGCAAATCCTAAGAGTAGCTGGGCCATACAGTCCTCGCAATTGCGAAGAATTCTTCGCATTTGCGAAGTAAAGCTGGGAAGGCAGTGATCACAAATGCGATCATTTTGTCGCGTTTGCAGAGATTCAAGTTCGCATTTGCGGAGATTCAAACTCGCATTTTTGAACTTATCTTCGCAATTGCAAAGGCAGCAGAGGTGCAAAGGACCTCGCATTTGCGTATGTCCCATCACATTTGCGAGATTCAGATTTGCGAAGCTCAGGTCGCAAATGCGACATCTGCAGCTATGTGAAAGTGACTTAGAAGGGATTTTTCTCTCATTCTTCAAATTTTCAAAACCTAAAACCATAGAGGCAATTTTTCCAAGACCATTTCTTCCCCAAAACATTGGTAAGTGATTCTAAGCTAATTTCTTTCAATCTTCCACTTCATTTTACAAGATTTCAACTTAAAATCTAAGGTTTTCATAGTGGAATTGGGGATTTTTGGGTAAAAACTAGGGATTTTCGAAATTTGGTGATATAGACCTCAAATTGAGGTAGGATTCCAAAACCAATTGTATATTCGGGCTCGGGGGTGAATGGGTAATTGGGTGTTGGTCCGAATTTCAGGTTTCAACCAAGCTAGCATAGTGTTGACTTTTGTTGACTTTTTCAATAATGACCTAATTCGGTTATTTTTTATCATGGGTGATTCCTAAGGCTTATTTTGAATTGTTTGGTTTGT